CCCCTCCCGCTTGAACTCGAAACCCACATCAATTAATTGCTCTTGATGAGAGCAATTGATTGATAATAGTCTTGGTTCATTTCACGGCTATTGGAATTCCGTCGAGACATCATTGATCGGTTGGTTGCTCCCCAATTGTTCCATCAGGTTCCTCCAGCTTGTGGGCTTCCCTTTCATCGTTTTTTCGACCTCGATAGGTATATCTCTCCCTTGTATCTTTCTGTGAATTGCGCATTTAACTATTTAGTCGCTTTAGGTTCAGTTTGTTTTAATTGCAAATTCCTTGTTTTGTTATCTTGTTTCATTTCTTTGAAGAGTTTTTCGAAACTATGTGGGTAATTGGATATTATTGTTATAAGCTCGATGATTCAACAGTGCTTAATTACTTGAGAGTTTAATTTTCTTAATCGAGTAGTTATTTTATTTGTGGATCATTTAGGTATTTGTCACTTTTGTTTAATGGCATTTAGGCAGGAAGTGCAATAGGCTTTGATTTGGTTTAGGTCAAGTCAGGTTTTGAGTTTGGATTATTGGAACAAGGCCCAGGTCTGTCAAAATTAGCCCATTTCATATTATAGGCCCATTCTGAGTTTGATTTAAATGAGATTGAGAATTGAATGTAAGAGAAGAGGTAAAATCTGGATGAGGGGTAAATACTGTAGTAGTAAAGGGCAACGTAGGGAATTGACTTAGGGAATCTTAGTTAGTTAAGAAAGAAGCTTCTAGAAAAAGAAAAAAAGGGTCGTCTCTGCAAAATAAAAATATAAACAAGTCAGAATTTGGGGTCTAAGGATAAATAACAGAAAGTTTAAAGGGTGGAAATAAATTAAAAAAATCTAGGTATTGCCCTGAAAATTCTGTTATAAATACACTGACTCTTACACAGATTCCGATTACCTTTAGTTGCCTTTTAGTTGGTTCCACCATGAAAAAGATTTCTTTATGTACTATAAGTTTATATATAGCTTGAAATATTTCATTTATTGTTAAGTGATTTATTATCATTGATGATATAAATATGTACGACAATACATTAAATCTTTGTGGTCTTTTCTGTTATCTCATAGAAGCCGGAGGCGGGAGATGAGAATGGTAAGAAAAAATGATCTAAAATTTCCTCATTTTCAACAAAGAGGAGTAGGGTTGTTGTTACTCACAACCAATCTGAACGCCAATCCCCTTCTCCACCTCCTGAACTCAAAACCTACATCAATTAATTGCTCTTGACGAGAGCAATTGATTGATGTTAGTCTTGGTTCATTTCATGGCTATTGGAATTCGGTCGAAACATCATTGATCGGTCAGTTGCTCCCCAATTATTCCATCCTATTCGTCCAGCTCGTGGGCTTCCCTTTCATCGATTTGTTCAACCTCGATAGGTATATCTCTCCCTTGTATCTTTCTGTGAATTGCACATTTAATTGTTTAGTCACTTTAGGTTCAGTGGTTGTTTTAATTGCAAATTCCTTGTTTAGTTATCATGTTTTCATTTCTATGAAGAGTTTTTAGATACTATATGGGTAATTGGATATTATTGTTATAAGCTCGATGATTCAGTGGTGTTTAATTACTTGAGAGTTTAATTTATGCTTAATCGAGTAGTATTTTTATTTGTGGATCATTTAGGTATTTGCCACTTTTGTGTAATGGTATTTAGGCAAGAAGTGGCAGTAGGCTTTGATTTGGTTTAGGCCAAGCCTGGTTTTTGAGTTTGTATTAGTGGAATAAGCCCAGGTCTTTCAAAATTAGCTCATTCCGTATTACAGGCCCATTAAGAGTTTGATTTAAATGAGATTGAGAATTGAATACAAGAGAAGAGGTAAAATCTGGAAGAGGGGTAAATGCTGAAGTAGCTAAGGGAAATGTAGGGAATTGGTTTAGAAAATCTTAGTTAGTTAGAAAATAAGCTTCTAAGAAAAGGAAAAAAGGGTTGTCTTTGCAAAAGAAAAATAGAATCAACTCAGAATTTGGGATCTAAGGGTAAATAATAGAAAGTTTAAAGGGTGAAAATGAATTAGAAAAATCTAGTTGTTGCCCTAAATTCTATTATAAATGCACTGACTCTCACACAGATTTTTAGACTCTCTGATCAGATACACTATATATTTTTTACACATATTCCTTCTACATTTTCATTGAGATTTTACTCACAAAAACTTCAAAAAAACAATATTAGATCTGAAAACTAAAACAATCTGAAAAGAATGAGTATGACAGTGGAATTCTAGGTTAGCTTTGCACCCAAAACAGTTCATAAGTTGTAGCTTTTTCGATTGTTGTATTCTCTCTTGCATTTCTGGGTTTCGAAGTGGATCCAGCTTTGATTACTGGTTGTTTGTTGTTGTTCTCTATCAACTAGTAGCTGAATTTCAGTTGTAGATGTTCTCAACCTTTATTTGGTCATTTTGAGACTTGTTTGCTACTGTGTAGGTATGTTCAAACACCTCTGTAGTTTTAAATTGAAATCGGGAGTAAAATTAAAGTTGTTTACTGCCTAATTCTATAGATCTAGCATATTTAATGGCCAAATTTGTTTGAATCTTCTTTTATGTTGAATTTGTTTGAATATTCTTCTATGTTTATCTCTGATGCAAACAATATGCTTAGGTTAAAGCATGTGATCCTATTAGGCATTGCTTACTAATGTGATTTATTTTGTTGATGTTTTTGCCTATTCGAAAATTGATGGTTGAAGTATGAGTTTTCATGCTAAACATGTTATGTTCACGCATCTGATTATCAAATATTTGATTTCACGTATGAGGAATCCTAGTTAATAGGACCTAGCAACAACAATTTTCTGCATTTCCATTCCACATTGAGGAAATCACTGGTGGATATACATAGATTCATAGTTTATAGGTTAATTTGTAAAGTTAATTAGTTGTGTTTGGATCAATCATTTTGTATATTAATCATTTATATGGACACATTTTCAGTAAACTACTTGTTGAAATCATATATAGGAGACGAATGTTTTTGGCATGATTAGTAGTGATGTTGTTTGTTAAATGACTAAACTCTGAAAAGTTACAATTCCTTATGTTTTTCAATATGGACCTGGCGACAAGATGGCCCAGTTGGTAGGCCTTAATGACCAAGGACTCTCAGTCCTATATGAAACCTGGGCACATTGTGATTGGGCCAGTCTTTAGGCCCACTGATGTCATTACATGGTTTTGAATGGGAAAATCTACATGATTAGATTGTTCAATACAACAAAAAGGAGCTTCAATCTACTTGTCTGCTTGATACACGAATTGTTTAAGTAGCCATAATAATTTAGTAGATATGAAATAAACATTTTTTTCTTGTCTTCTGCCTGTTTAATTTAACAATATTCAGAATTACCCAAACTCCTGCAACTCTGAGAAGTAGGCCAATAATGATAGATGTGCTCTATGACTTTATGAAAGTTCAAGTCAGCCTCACGCTTAAGTGTAAATGTGAGTTCTTCCACGATTTCCATAAACTCTTGACCTTCATATGCAATCACAAACATAGGATTAATCAAATTTATAAATATTGAAGTTTGCTTTAGCCGTGATCAATAATAAATTATTGTGGCTATGGGTACAGTTCCCGTGGCATAGTCATGATAAGTAACCCAAACTCGAGTGCACGTTCGCGTGACTGGACCCTAACTTCTAATAATAAAAATGAACATGTTACGAATTGAGGGTGCATTTCACGCTGCGCGATTTGCAATGTGTACCAAAACAACAAGTGTACGGCATCGTAACTTATTTAAAATAATTCCATAAAAATACCAAAAATGATTTAAATATATTATTAAAAGCAGTAAGAGGTAAAAATGCATAATATGTCTAAACATGTAATAATCAGGTATTAAGCCACGTGTAACTGTAAAGCGACCGTGCTAGAACCACGGAATTCGGGGGTGCCTTACACTTTATCCCGGCTTATGTATTCGCGGATCATAAATAGAGTCAAACTTTTCCTTGATTTCGGATTCACAAATAATTGGTGACTCGGAACATTGTTAATTAAATAATTCCAAGTGGTGACTCTTAAAATTAAAATAAAATAATCTCTTTTCAAATAATATCACTTTAATTGGAAAAACTCCTTATTTTCGAAAAAAATAAGGTGTGACAGCTCTGGCGATTCTACTGGAGAACGAACCCAGAATCTCTGGTTCAGGGTTCAGAATTCGAGTTTAGAATAACTGTTATACTTGTCTTTCTTGTAACTGTACGATTTTATGTGTTTGGGCCTAATGTGCTAAATGTCGCTCTTTCAGCTTTGATGTTATTTGAACTGAATAAAAACTGTTACAACACCCTTCTTCTCTCTAAGTCTTCTAAATCATCTGGTAAGTGTGCGCTTCGCATGGATTTTTTTATGTTAGATACCATATCCTAATTTTATAATAAGGTTCGGATCAGCTGCAAAGCTGGTGAAGTTTCTGTATTCCCAGTGTGTTGCCCACCCCCTCCCGGCTCGAGTTGTCCGCTCGAGTAAGCCTTGTCTATAAATTCACACCGCAAGGTTTAAACTTAGACGAACAAAACCTAATGCTGGATCCCTAGTAGGTACGCTTGTTTATATCACATGCATTTGACTTTGGGGACTCAACACCGGAGTTGGGTCCGTCTAGGACTGGTGTACCTCCAAAATAAAAGATCATCCTGATGCATCTTACGTGCTATTTGTTGCATTTTTGTTTGTTTTGGTTTTCATGTTGATCAGTTTATAGAATAGGGATAGAAAATCAAGAAAAAATAGGAGAGAGAAAATTTACTCGGTTCCTAAAAATTCCCATTTTTGAAAATAAAAGAGAAAAATCCTGAAACTCTACCGAATTTTTTTAGAAGGTTGTTACAAAATGAGTCCAAATTTTCAAAAAAATGACCTTTTCCCTGATTTTGAATATTCCCCCGAACTACGCATGTCTGATTCTTACCAGATGTGAGATACTAGGCAACCCTCATCAGGTCCGGCCCCATTTTTGCAAAATAACCAAAAAATAGGAATATGGCAAATTTTTTGAAACATGGTCATCACCCTAGGTTGTTCTTGTCTAAAGAACCTCAAAACGTTCTCCCAGGACACTAGAGGGCTATTTTTGCAAGAATAGCCGCAATGTTAACCCGAGTTAGTCTTTTCCCCATAATCAACACCATTTGGCAGAAACAGCCCTAAAAACTTTCTTCAAGCACTGAAGGGCCGTATTTGCAAAACAACCCCTATTTTGTCATTGAGTTATTAAAACTGAATTTTAAAATTTAGCCACTTAGTGATTTTGAAAACAGTTGCGGTTTGGATCCTTTGTCCTAATTTACGTGCAAAATGAGCATTGTTGACGATTTACCTTTTTTAGGTCACAGATGAGATTCTATTAAGACTCCACATGTGGTTGAATAACGTGGGGGAAGTCAGTCAGCGTCCCGTGACCAAGGTATTAGGTGGTCTCATAGGGCTTTTAAGGATTAAGCCAAGGGTTGATCTGATTGAGGCATTGATATCGTTCTGGGACACGAAACATAATATTTTTCACTTCTCGGATTTGACTTGACCTCTATGTTGTAACGATCCGACCGGTCGTTTTTTCTTTCTAGAACCTCGTTAACCTAAATAATACTTCCCGTACGTGCTTTTACTATTTTATGACTTGTGGGGATGGTTAGTTCGGGATTTGGAAGGGTTCCGGTCGAAATCGGAACACTTGGTTCCTTAAGGTTGGCTAAAAAGACTAAGTTTGACTTCGGTCACCATTTTGAGAAAATGACCTTGTAATCAGGATTTGACGGTTCCAATTGGTTCGTATGATGAATTCGGACTTGGGCGTATGTTCGGATCGGGTTTTGGATGACCCGTGAGCATTTTGGCGCCTAATAGTGAAAGTTGGTTCTTTGAAGGTTTTTTATGTTCTTTAAATTTAGTATGGAGTAGGTTTTGGTGATATCGAGGTCCAAATAAAATTCTGAGCTAGAGAATAGTTCCGTAATATCATTTAAGACTTGCACGCAAAATTTGGTGTCATTCCGAGTAGTTTAAGTACGTTTCGACGCATTGGGAGTAAATTGAAGAACTTAAAGTTCATATTTTTGATTCAATTGGTTTGGGGAGTGATTCTTAGTTTTGATGTTGTTTTGGACGTTCCGAAAGTTTGAGCGAGTTTGTTTTATGATTCCAAAGTTGTGGATATGTTTGGGCGGGGTCTTGGGGGCCCCAGGTGTTAATCGAACGAGGCTCGGACCAAGTTGGAACTTGGGACAAAATCTGAGCTCCTAGCGGCTGCTATAATCGCACATGTGCTTGGCCAACCGCAGGTGCGAGCCAAGACCCGCAAAAGTGGACAAGCCAAGGCTGACCAGAATCCGCAGGAACAAGGAAACTAGCGCACCTACGAACGCACAGGTGCGAAGGCTGTGACCGCAGAAGCGGCAGTGTCTGCAAGCGCGAAAGAAAGGGTTGCAGGAGCGGTCTCGCATGTGCAGAAATCACATAAGGTAGAATCCTTCATTTAATGCGGGACTTAGTCATTTTTGGCTAATTTATTCCATTGTTGGGCGATTCTTGGAGCTCTTAGAGAGGGGATTTCATCTAATACTTTGAGGTAAGTAATTTCTACCAATTGTGAGTTAAATACATAGTTGAATTGATAGATTATAACGTGTAAATTAGTTAAAATCATGGGTTTAGGTGAAAACCTAGGGTTTTGATAAAAATAAGATTTAACCACGAGATTTGTTATGGAATTTAGTGAAAATTATATATTTGAGTTCACGAAGTTATGGGTAACAACTTTCTTCGAAATTTTCCAAAATTCGGGCATGTGGGTCCAAGGGTGAATTTTATGAATCCTATATTTTGGGTTGGGTAATCACTTTAATAGTTGGAATATGAAATTTTGAACATGTATTGATTTATTTATAAACCATTTGACTAGTTTTGGATACTTCGGCACTGAGTTGAGGCCTTAGAGTAAATTTGGGGCCGGAAAGTAAGCTTTGAGATGATATAAGTCTCCTTTCTAACCTTGTAAGAGCGAATTGACCACATAGGTGAATTGATTAATTTGTGCTCCTATTTGTGGGGGCTACGCACGCACGAGGTGACTAGAGTCATGCGTAGCTACTAATTATGCTATTGTCCGGGTAGTCTAGGACCCATATCATGCTATACTAACAAATATTCGCACCCTACTTGTTAACTTAATTGCTTAAGTCATATTGAAATTTGGTAAAAGAATTGTAAAAGGATAAATTTCACTTACTTGAAGTTGTGAATAAGACACTTGACAGTTATTAGGAATTTGTGTTTCTTAATAGTATTTTCTTTTTTGGAGCGGGCCGAACACCTTGGTAGCAGATAGATGCATCTATGGTTCGTGTTGTTTGACCCTCTGCAGTGCACAGTTTAAATATCTCTATGCTGGATCGAGTCGTACAACCTTGGCATAATTGCATATAATGAATCTTTGGAACTATTTATGATTGATATTCCTTCATTGGCTTGACATATAAATTGTTAAATGATGGAAATAAACTTGAAATTTACTATTAGAGAGAGGATTGTTTATTATTTCCTGTTATGAAGTTTTTCAGCTATATTTATGTAATCCATGTTTAGTTATTATTTCGACATTTTATTGTTAGCTCATAGTAAGTGTCAAAGTTGACCCCTCGTTATTACTTCTTCGAGGTTAGACTGGATACTTACTGGGTACATGTTGTTTATGTACTCATGCTACACTTCTGCACTTAATGTGCAGGATCTGAGGCAGATGCATCTGTATATCAGTCTGGCGCGCTTACTTGATCCCTGTTACGAGACTACACGATGAGCTACCTTCCAATTCATTTTGTAGCAGTTAGAGTCTTTCTTTTGTTTATTGTTCTGTCTATTTCATTTCGGACAGTAGAGTAGTAACCTTTCTGTATATTCTACTAGTAGCCCATACACTTGTGACACCAGGTCTTGGCACACACTAGTAGACTTGTGGCTTTGGTTTTATTTCTATGGTTATAATTGCACACCGTTGCTTTCGTTTAAATTATTTTAAATCTGTCATTTATTAATTCTTTTAAATTAAGGGAAGTTATTTACTTGGAAAACCTAAAAAAAGGGAAATCACAAGATTTTTCACTGTTGGCTTACCTAGAAGCGGGACTGGGCGCCATCACGGTCTATAATAGAATTGGGTCGTGACAACATGGTATCAGAGTACTAGGTTCATATAGGCCTCACAAGTTGTGGGAAGGCCTAATAGAGTCTTATGGATTGGTGCGGAGACGTCCATACTTATCTTCGAGAGGCTATAGGGTGTTAGGAAACTACTCTTTATCCA